CCCCCCCCCCTCCTTTGGTATTGTGGTTATTTTCTGCTGGCCTGTAATGATTGTTGATATTTTAATCTTTGGTTTTTAGGACTGGTCATTGTCTGAGCTGCTTCCAAATTCACACAGTTGAGTTTTTATATTGTTACGTGTCCACAATAAACAATGTGCTTTGGCCAAGATGTGACACACACAGTGACTCAAAAGTCTGTCCTCTTTTCCTTCCGGTGTTTGGTCCCACGCTTAATAAACTGATGAGTTGGTTTGTTTGCAGTAACCAGGACCATTGAAATACATACACTGTTGGCCGCAGTCACTTGCATTTGTTAAACTAGGGCTGAGGATCCATTACAATCTGAGGACATGAACCATAAGGAGGCTTTTCTAAAGCACAATGGCTGCTCTCTGTGATACTAAAGCTTTATAACAAAGGCTGGCTTGTTCTCCCAACCCATGTTACTGCTGGAAATGCAGCCCAGTTTGCTTGACTGATACTATATCCATGTCATTTTGTCTGAGTCAAAATCAAAAATCCTTAAACACATAGGTCTTTCTCTTTTTAAACACTGAGTGACTGAGCCCGTATGGATTCATAGCAGACCACAGATCTTCTTATTTGGGCCAATAATTACATCTACTCAGAAAACTGAGAACAAAAACATCATTTTTGCCATACCGGGTATGTGACTCTCACGCATGTGTTCTTGTTTTTTTGTTTTTTTTTTTAAACAGAGCTACTGATGCTGAAAGGCAGAATTAGACATGTGGTATTATTAAAGCGATGCACAGCCCTGTCTTTGCATAAATCTGTTAAATGCAGGGTATTGGTCTTGGTCACAGAGTCGGGTCGCTGTGGAGTAACAGTGCTGGAGCCAAGATAAAGTACAGTTAGCCTGATCATTTTTGCAATATGAAATTATTTTACTTGTGTCTTATTCTCTTTCACACATGGTCAGAATAGCCTGTTTAGAGACTGTGGACTCCCAGTGCCTTCAAATCCTTAGAAAGTCTTGACGTTCTGTTCCACTCTGCATTTAATCATTAGTTATTTATCTCTAAATCTTTTTTTTTTTTTTTTTGATACAGTCTTCCTTCCATCATCCCAAACTGGTTGCGGTAGAGGTCATCATCACACACTGGTTTGTGGTCTCGCAACTATGGTGGTCCTGAGAGGTCAAACACTCCATCTTAATAAAAAACTGACCAATTGAAAAATGGAACAGAAGTGTTTCTGGGGGCACAATAAGGTGATGGAGCAGCTGCAGAGGTAGAAACCAAAACGTGCAAAAGATAACACTGAAAAAGAAGTGTAAGATTCATCGCTGTTGTAACCGAGAAAAAGACACAGGTAGTGTGTGTTTTAATCACATGATTCATTTAATCATCTACATACATCTTTGCTTTTAGCCACTTACTGTTAGCTCTTCCACCTCCAACATCCTTTTTTTTTTTGGGTCTACTTTTGTTTCGTTTCGTTTTGTTTTGAGCTCTCAGGGCCACCATACCCATCTCCCTTTCTTGAAAGCAAGAAATGACAAATGAGAAGTTAGAAACCGACTTTCGTTCACAATGCAGAAAAATCTGTTTAATGGTACATTTGACTCTAAAATATAATTTTCCACAAGATTTTTTATTTATTTATTTTTTTAGCTCTGAGTGACTTGAGCGTAAAATCACTTACAAAATGTTTCCTGGTGTAATAAAGTTTGACATTTAGGGGTTAAAAAAGTCTCCTTATTTAAAATTATGATGCTACTTAAAGGACAAAATATAACATTAAAGGTTCTCACAGATCTGATCTGTTTATAGTTAAACACCGCCAACCAGATTTCTTCCTGTTAAACGGGAGTTTTTCCTTCTCACTGTTGACGAGTGCTCGCTCAGAGGTGGTCGTCTGATTGTTGGGGTTTCTCTCTATTATTGTAGGGTCTTTACCTTGCAATGTCACACACCTTGACTGTTGTTGTGACTATATAAATAAAATGGAATTTAATTGAATTCAGTCATTTTACAATAAGGGCAGGGGTAATGCAGTCATGTTTCCTTGATTTTCATTGGTAGACGAAGCATTTAAGAGTTGAGTAAGAGATGAAGGTTACAGGGGAAACATGATGTTATGGTTCGCACTATGCCTCAATGCAAAAAGACCCTGGGTTTGAATGCACCAGTCTGCTGAAAGCTTTGTGTGTGGAATTTGCATATAGGTACTCCAGCTTCATCCCACACTCTGAAGACATGCATGTCAGGTTGCTTGTGGTCCTTGTTAGCCCTGCAACAGACTGACTCCAGTGCAGCCGCCACCCTGAATAGAATAAGTGTTTACCATCGCAGGTTGCGAGAGGGTTGCGTCCTCTTAAAGGTGCACATAAATAAAGTGTTTTTAAAAACCTACACTCTTCATTCATTGTCTTTTCTGCATTCAACCCTGAACATGATCATCTTTTCTTACGCTCTATAAAATGAGAGCTTCAGGAACATTGAAATTTAAGAGCCACAGAGTTACATTTGGTGTAAATAGCAACAAGCTGACTGGAAATGATTTCTTGCTGGTTTGGATCCCTCTCCAATGACAATCCCCATTAATCTGCCATGATCACTGGCCCTGCTTGCTCTGGAACACTGTGTGCTCTCTTTTCTTTTTTTTCATTTTTTTTTTACCCGCGATATATTCACCACACGTCCCAAAGTGTGCGTTCATTTCCCATTCCTATAATGTTTGCACACTAGTCAAGCGGCAACACAATGGTTTCAGTGGTTCTAAGGTCAACATTAATCCTTGTGTGAAGATATTGTCAATGGCTTCTAGCTAAAATTCTGACCTGTTATGGTATTATCATATGAAACATTAGATTATATGAAAGAAAGGAAAAGTGAGCTATGTTGCTGATAGATTTATAATAATAGTGGCAGTGGTTGAAATGAAACATTTTATCATAGAGATAACAAAGCAATTTCTGTGAGAGATTTAATTCAGGCTTTAATTAGGAGTTTGTGTGCGGGCTGAGGTTCTGCACACGCCTGTGCGAAACCAGGGTGAGGACAGGACAGAGACGCAGTAATGACAGAGATTTCGCAAATTTCTTGCCACAACACAAATCAAACTCACCCTGTCCTGGTATGTGTGCTATTATCTCGCCCAAGAAAGGGTTTATTCGCCCAAGGGAGCGATTATGAAGTCCCACTAACCCATTATCCGCAGGAAGTTTCTCACTCTGTACCTCTTTCTGTTGTTGTTGTGTACTTTTGCCTTCATGTTAGCTCTGT